GAAAAAATATCGAACCGTGACATCAAAGTATCGAACCGAACCGAACCGTGAATTTTGTGTATCGTTGCACCACTACCTAACAAATATTTTGTGGGTATTATAGGAGCTGTATGACATTTATAATCACATTCCTCCTTAATCAAATGTTGTTGAAATGTGTGGCACTTTGAAATGTGTGTTTGCGCTCTGTGTGGTGTTGCAAACACACACTATGTCAGATTAGTTTGGCTAATTTTAGCAGTGTTATCAGCAGTAGCCTGACTTTCTTCCATGCTACTGTCCACATCATGATACAAAATATGGTTATATGTAGCTTTGGTTGCTTGGATATATTCCACTTTATTCTGACAAAGCTGACATACAACTGCTCTGCTTTTTTTTAAACATCAAAGTAATGCAGAACAGAACCGGTTAGCAAGCCTGTCATCTGTTTACTTTCACCCTCACTCATTTACAACTTCCTTTTTTTAACACAGATTTCCCACCTGTGTGTAGAAAGTGTGCCACATAAATGATACAGCTAGATAAAGTAGACGTGTGTACAGTAAGATAGTAAAATGGGTAGTAAAAAAATCTACTCTTAGCTCAGTGTGACTTTACTGTCTTTACTGCACTTTCTCTTCTTCAGTGCACATGCACACCCTCTCTCTCACACACTCTCTCACAGACACAAACACACAACAGATAGGTGATGTGAACAAAATATTCAGTTTGAGCACAATCTGTTAAATTATTGTAAATGCAATGAAGGTTTACCTGCAAGAGTTGAGAGATAGAGTGAAGCCAGCAGGGAAAGTCATCAGCTTTTCATTCAGCTTTAAATAAGTTAACAAAAGTTATGAAATGAAATTTGCACTTAAACCACAAACTAACAAGCCTGACATTAAAAGCACCTAAACTGCTGCTGGTTGGTGTTAGCTTCTTTCATGCTGTGTTAATATGAAGAGTACACTGGTGCTGTAGAGCACAAAAGTGCCCACCCACTTTTTGAAGGTCTCCCATGAAGGAAGTGAATTGGCTTTCATTTTTTCTATTGACATTTCAGACAATTCCTTTTTTAAAGGTAAAGGTACAAGATAGTGTACATAGATACTTTTAACAACGAAGGAGCTACTGATGCAACAATGCCATACAATTCGCAGACTCTGCATTAAATGACTTCCAGCCTTCCCAGATTTACTCCTTTTCATTATTCCAGTATTGTACAATATCCATCCACCCCTCCATTTTCTTCAGCTTCATTGATTCAGGATCGTAGTTGGGCTGGACGCTATACCGGCTGTCGGCGAGTACATCCTGGACAGGTCGCCAATGTAGCCGACATACAGAGAGAGAGAGAGAGAGAGACTATTATTCACACTTACACTCACACCTACTGCCAATTTAGGCTCACCAGTTAACCCATGCATGTGGGAGGAGGCTTACATGCCCCCAGGGCCCATGCAGGAAAGGTCTGTATGGCCTAGTTATCCGTATGTTACAGTGTTTGGTTCCTGACTGTCTTCACTTTTAAGATTTCTGAAGTTTCATCCTTAATCTTGACACATTTCTATGGCAACCGTAACCTCCACCAGTCAGAGACGTCACTGCTTCAAGGTAGGGTTGTGGGTAGAGTAGTTATATTCTGCAACATCATGAATGAAATTCTTTTTTTCTTTTCATATTTTTATATTAATATTTATATTTTTTATATTTTATTTTTATTCTTTTTATATTCTTTTTAGAAAAAAGCTATCACTAGGTCAGTATTGGGGTCTTTATATCAATACAAGCTATATGTTGTTAAAATACATACTGCCAGCAGTTTGCTGCATGACTATGACTGAAATGGATGCAGTGTTGTTGAGTTTAATTTCTGCTGCATAAAACTGAGTAGAATCACTGTGAAAATTTTTAGAACAGCTTCAATATCGTCACTGTTTATTGACTTGATGCTGTAAGGCTGTTATTTACTCTCCTGCTGACTGTTTTGATTAGATGAAAGTGAAAGAAAGTCAGCTTTTTAAATGTCACTCTGGTTTGCTCATAAAAAAAGGAGCTTTCATTGTATTTCAGAACTCAACTGAGTATCTCTTATGCAGATGTGGGGATGTTTATTCTGGAGGAAATTTGAAAAAAGCATGGAGGTCTTATTAGGTCAGCACAATATGAATCCTCCCTCCCATATTTGCAACATGTCAGTGTGAGTTTTAGGGCAGCAGTTACCATTGAGACCTCAGTGATATTTTCAATAGGAAATTGCTATATCGCAATTCTGATCACTTTCAGCGATAAACACAGCTGTGATTTATTTTTTTCATTCTTGCTACTGCACAAAAAGATCTGGTGCCATGACTTTTAAAATCCTGCTTACAATCCAGACAGTAAATACCATCGATTGGATTTTCAAAATTAAACAGATGAAAATTTGTTGGGCTCATTCATGGATTGTATGTGCAAAAACAGTACAAAAAATGTCACTCAGAATTCTTGGATTGGCCACAACAAGCAGTCAGTTGTTGCCTGAGTCATGGCTTGCTACATAAAGGCTGATAGAAAGTGTGCTCTGATTCACATTTCTTTGTCTTTGGCTTCTGAACACTTGTCTATGACGTGTTGCTGCTCTGGAGAAATTTACAGATAGCTTGCTAAAGGTTTTTGTGTTAACAGGTAAACGATCAGGTTACATTGACATTACAGGGAAGCAAAGGATGCAGAGGTTTAGAGTTGAAAGACTTTGTTTTGTGATAACTAACATTCAAACTAACAGGACTAAACTGGAGGCTTCTTGGCAGTGTAAGTAAAATGTTGTAGTGTAACAATTAGGTACATTGTAGTGGCCTAATCCCTCAGTAATAAACAGATGAAGTCACTGTTTGCTGAGAGCACAGAGCATCATCAGAACCCTTTAATGTGAGAAGAGTTGTTATTCCCAAACTACAAGCCATGAAACATAAGCATGTATGTTGCTAACACCTATGTAAACTGACTTCCAATCAGATTAGCATCTTTTCCCAGGCCTTTTCTGCCTCTGATCGGCTTTGCGTTAGATAAACAAATCTTAGGCTTCTCGTTGCAAGGTAATAGAGAGGTCGGTGGCTCGCTCTCAAAGAGCGAGGTCCAGCTCATGTTTCAGCTGTCGCAAGACACAATTGTTGGTCCTTTGTTCCTGTGGTGTGTGTTTGTGTGTGTTGGTCCTGTTGAGCTTTTATTACCATTAGCCCACAGCGATGGCAACGGTATGAATGACGGATTGTAAAAATGTGATGTGTACTCGCTAAAATTGATGATGGTTGAGTGAGTTTAGGAAACCAGACAAAAGGCTGAGAAACAGAAAACCATGGAGCAAAAGATCGAGTTGAAGGGGGAGCGCAGACAATGTTATCTGCAGACAGGACCAGACACCATGATGTTACATAAGCTGTCTGTGTCTGTGTGTGTGTGTGGACTGTCCACTCATGAATAAAAGCAAGGGCAGGACTTCACAGTTATCAAGTTCAAGTCTGATTTAATCACAGCAGAAACGACTGTGTTCACTGTGACAGCGTCTTTCTGTTTTGGACGTCTGTGCAGCGGGTTCGAAGAAGAGCTTCTTCTCTCCTCCTGCTGGTGGAGCTTTGCACGCTGTATTATTTATGACGCCATTATTCGTGGGTCTGCATGCCTGAGGCTAATCTTCTGTGACGTCTTTGTGTGAAACGGCATACGTGCTGGTGGCTTTGTCATGAGGACATACAGCATGTGTTTTTTGGTTTGGGGCTCACAGCATGATCTCATAGCGACCAAACATAAACACGAATAGCTGTCAGTTATGATTGGGTTGCATTCGTCATTTCACTTGCTGGGTATTTCTCTTCTAATAAATATTGCATATGTGGCTGTCAGCGTTGTCCACCTCCAAGATTCACTTTCCTCCGGAACAGTGTGGCCTGGAGCATCGATGCTGGATTTGGATTATCTCATCAAGCGATTCTGTTGCAACATCTTAACCAGATTACTATCGATAAATGTTATTTGTATGCTTAAAAAATAATGAAGATTTAATTTTCTCATTGCTATTTTTATCAGATTCTTCCAGCCATTCTGAAGAGCCATGAAAATATTTTCTAATGTGAACTATGGCTTGTGGAGCCGGTGTTGTAGCTATAGGTTTCTATGACGCTTTACATTTCTGGCATCCTGAACGATTGAATTGAGTAGAGGGTATTTTATCACTGCAGTTTCATATTCATAAGTTAAACACTGCAGCTGTTCTGTGATCACTCAGAGAGTCAGAAGCAACACAATTGCTCTCACACAAAGCGCACGCTCTGCCTGGGTTGTGCTGAATGGTGTTGAGTAAGTATGCCTCACTCTGAGCTCGAGCTCCAGCAGATTATTTTATCTAACTGCTAACCGCTAAATCTTATGACAAAGTAACTGTGTTTTCAACAGCGAGGTGAACTGAAGCATGATTATTACTGCTGCTGTGGGGGAAAAATACACGCAACCTGTAATTACCTTGAACAAAGAACCGCAATGAAAGGGTTGTCTAATGTCATTATTCGGACATCATCTGACACAACGCACAGGTTAAATGTTGATGCATCGCTGAGAGAGAACGGTAGAAGCTACAGTAGGTCTGGCACTTAGCTCTCGGTGCACAGGCTCTGTGGGGATACAGCTGCTGCGCAGAGAGAGCTGCAGGAACGAGCGAGAACTGTGCTGTTCTTAAATATTTTCCCTAGTTGTAGCTCACCAGAGCGGTGTGAAAGTGCACCTTTCCCCGACAAAGAGCCTGATTATCACGTTGGAGATGAACTAAAGCTCATACACTCACTTGCCAATTTATTAGATGCACATAACCCTAACCGCTTTCCCTTTCCCTGCCTTCTGCCTGGCACAGATTCTACATTCCTCAGAGATTTTGCTCCCTATTGACATGACACACTGTCACACAGTTGCTTCAGATTTAAGGGCAGCACGTGATGTGAATCTCCCGTTTCACCATGTCCCAAAGGTGCTCTACTGGATTGACTGGCATCTGGAGGCCATTTGAGTACAGTGAACTCATTGTCACATTCAAGAAACCAGTTTGAGATGATTTGAGCGACGTTGCACCTCATCCTACTGGAAGCAGCCATTAAAAGTTGTCAGGAGCAATACTCGGGTGGGCCGTGGTGTTTAAGGATGATCGGTTGGTGCTCACAGCACCACCGACCCGAACCGCTGACACGAAGCAACATGGGTCCATGCTTTCATGTTGTTTATGCCAAGTTCTGACCCTACGAATCTGAATGAATCTCATCAGACCAGGCAACAATTTTTCAGTTTTCTGTTGTTGACACAATTCAATTCAATTCAATTCAATTTTATTTATATAGCGCCAAATCACAACAAAAGTCGCCTCAAGGTGCTTCATAGATACAGAGAAAAACCCAACAATCATATGACCCCCTATGAGCAGCACTTTGGCGACAGTGGGAAGGAAAAACTCTCTTTTAACAGGAAGAAACCTCCGGCAGAACCAGGCTCAGGGAGGGGCGGGGCCATCTGCTGCGACCGGTTGGGGTGAGAGAAGGAAGACAGGATAAAGACATGCTGTGGAAGAGAGACAGAGGTTAATAACAGATATGATTCAACACAGAGAGGTCTATTAATACATAGTGAGTGAGAAAGGTGACTGGAAAGGAAAAACTCAATGCATCATGGGAATCCCCTGGCAGCCTACGTCTATTGCAGCATAACTAAGGGAGGATTCAGGGTCACCTGGTCCAGCCCTAACTATATGCTTTAGCAAAAAGGAAAGTTTTAAGCCTAATCTTAAAAGTAGAGATAGTGACACGTGTGATCTTCTGCTGCCGTAGTCTGTCCGCTTCCAGGTTTGGCCTGTTGTGTTTTCAGAGATGCTCTTCTGGATATCTCGGTTGTAACAAGTGATTATTTAACTTACTCTCATCTTCCTATCAGCTCAAAGCAGTCGCATTCATTCTCCTCTGACCTCTGGGATCAACAAAGCATTTTGGTCCAGTGACCTGTTGCTAACTGGATCATTTCTGTTTGTCTAACCATTCTCTGTAAACTTTAGAGATGATTGTGAAATACTCAGACCAGTCCACCTGGCACCCACGACCATGACACGCAAAGACACTTTTCTTCATCGGTTTGAACTTGTCTTGACGATGTCGGGCTAATTAGATATTTACATTAATGAGCAGCTGAACAGTAATCGGTTTCCTTCCTTCTATCCTTGTACTGTTAAAATTCTAAGTGATAAAAATTACAATCATTTATGAAAATGCAGGAACCAAAACGATTACTCCGGAGAATTTCTGCTGTGCTTCAAAGTAATGATACTCACTATTCTAGAAAATATCATAAGCTGTTATCATGACCCTGTCAGTGTTTAAATAAACTCTTTTTGATGGTTCAGCAGTTGTGCCACTTGTATTTGTACTTACATGTAATTTAGTGCAATGGTATCTAGCCAGAAGATAAGGTGGCACAAGATAAAAAGAAACAGAGCGAAAGAGAAACTTGCATTTTATACAGAGCTGACAGGGAAGCCTTGTCAGGACAAAAAGGAATATAGGAAATAATTTCCACCCATTCACATGTCTGTTTGGATGCAGCACCAGGGGGAATTCAAGAAACCGACAAGATGGCTTCCGATCTTTCTGGAGATATAAGTTTTATGAAACACTTTCTTCTTGGCTGCTTTCCTTACTCACTGATTCTTTTTATCAAATATGTTGTTCTCGTGTCTATTCTCTGTCACTTGGTTTGTTTGTTGTTTTAACAGGCAAGCAAGTTGCTTGAAGGTTTTTCCCACATGAGTGCCTAAATCTTTGCATATTTGTCCTTCTAGAGGTGGAAGCAGAGCCAGCCAGGCAGCTGGGCGAGCGACCGTCGAAGCGTCGCTGTTTCTGGGAGTACAGACGTGCTCGGGAGTCAGCCACGAAGAAGAAACTTGGCGGTGACGTCCACTGGTCTCTGTCCTGGAGCTCCAGCACTCTTCCCAGCACGCTGTACCGCCGAGAGGGTGAGAATACAGCATTACTGCGTGATGCTAGTGAATGCTATTTAATGCTGATTGTTTCATACAAAAAATAAATAAATAAAAAAGTCAGAAAAGTTACTAGATTATTAAGTGAAACTGGTTTACATGGTTGTTTCTCTGGGGAAGACATTTTTGGAGTGCCGATGACCTAATTATTAAAAAAGATAATTGTCAGATTGATAAGTTAAACCCTAATCAAAGGGCTGGATTGAAGGTTTGGCAGCAGGAGTCATTAACCCGACGTGCACGCTGCAGTTGGGATCGTCCCATTTCCTTTTTCTCCCGTGACACAGATCAGACCTGCACCCTCAGGCGTGTGCCCTACATACAACTTGCATGTCAAAATGTGGATTTTTCAACATTCCCATCGTAGTTGAATCTCACGTCAGGCTCAACAATAGCTTTGCTGCAGTGCTGCAGCCCGTGTTATGCTGGACAAACCAGAATGGCAGTCCTTTAAACTTAGTCCAGTCGAACCACTCAAACAAGAGTCAGCACTGATAACAGTGTACGTGTTGTGTAAATACTCCGTAAATCTATCAAACTATTGGGGTGGATGCTTATTTTAAATCATGTGATTCATTGTACAGTAATTTCTATGCGACATCTCTATAGTTCTGTATCATGTCATATATCTCTAATATAGTCATTTCAGGGGGGAAACAATAGCTCTTGTAGAGAGCTCAGATGATCCACCCACACCATTTGCAAATCTTCTATTTTAAGGGGCTAGCAATTAGTAGAAAGTCGGTTTAAATAGCAATTTAGCAAAGTGCCTTGGGTGCCTAATGTTTATTTCAAACTTTAATCATGCAAAGCTGCTCTAGAAGAGTCCAGTACTAAAAGTATGGAGCTGCAAACCATAATACCTCCAAATGAAAGCAGATATTAAAACAAATAGATGCCTTGCCTTGTACCACTGGGAGATTTGGCATCCTGACATTTTAAGGCCAGGTTTGGTAGAGCTGCACTGTTTTTACCTGACCGGACACGTATGGAGTTCATTTTGTTGTTGTTAATTCAGGCAAAAAGGGGCGACGCAAAGCCCGGAAAACAGATGCCAGCGACCTGACGCCGAACCCTCAGAAGCTCCACAACATCGGGGAGCAGCTGCAGAAGCTCAACGCAGCGATCGATGGCATGGGTCCGGTCAACGACCTGCCCGCTGTGGCCCGAGCCCGTTCACGCAAGGAGAAGAACAAGCTGGCCTCCAGGTACAGCGTGCTCTTTACTGCCCTCCTACATCCTCTGCACCAAGTGGGAACACTGGAAATGCTCTGTATTGATTTATGAGGCCTGAGTGGGAATTTTAAGAGGGTTTCAGCTTTTGTAATTTGCTGGCAGAAAAGAGAAGCCCGGGGGGCTCTGTGGTCTAGTATCTGCAGTCTTTAGCCCTGTCAAGATTGGTTTTCAAATATGTGCAGCATTTAATAGTTGACCTTCTAAATGCGGGTGGTGGAGGACATGGACGGTGAAGAACACATGGAGACGTGATATCTGTGTGGATTTTAGACCATCAGTTGCATTCATGTGATGGAAAATAAAAGGATCTTGGGAAATGGGTCGCGTTTTTACTGATTTGAATTTTTCCTTTGATGATGCCGTCATGTCGTAGAACTCTGCAGATCAGCAAGCCTTAAAAGAAACTACCATACTATGCTTTTGTAAAATTTCAAACGGGCTTTAATTTACTTTCAATATGTCCCTCAGAATAACACACACACACACAACACTGAAGGTTGAAAAGCTTGGTCTTCAGTGTATTTTTGCGTTGCCTGTTTCTTTGTAACAAACTTACCTTGGATGTTATCTTGACAGAATAAGTGAAGGAAGGACGGAGGGAAGCAGAGGAAAAAACAAGAGAGGCAGGGAGATGGAGGGGAGCAGGATGAAAAGCTGAATACAAGGAAATCAGGCAGGATTGAAGAGGCAGACGAGGAGTAGAGGGAAAGATGGGTCATATAAAGTTCATCTTTGCAGAGGGAGGGAGGGAGGGAGGGGGAGATTTCAGAATTCAGGACATTATTGCAGGCAGTTTTGCAGGAGCCTGGGAATATCCTGTAATTCAAAACATACATTAAACACAACGCAAACATGTCATCTAATAGAAAGTTTGGCAAGGACTTACAGAAATAAAGCTGAAAAAGAGACTGAAGGGGAGGGGAGTGACGGAAATTTAACGTCAGAGGATGCAGGAATCTCATGTGAAGCTTCACTTCTTTTGCTCTGTCATAGCTGTGGCTGCGTGAGTCCAGGTTGGGGTTAGTAGTTGGATTAGCCTGACCGCCTTCAGACCTTCCTTCCCCTTCTTTTCCCTGCTCATGTCTGAAATAACCTGCCTGGGGCATTCAGGCGGCGCAAAGGAAAAACACTGGGCTGGTTCTTAGCCCTCGCCCAGTTTGGCACAACATTCCAGCCAACACGCTTAGCAATGAAAATTGTCCCGGATGCTAACTTACTAACTAGACTCAGCAGGAATACACCATCATTTGGGAAAGTATTGTTTAGCTTCTTCAGTGGTTTCATGATGTCGTGATTTTGACCAGTTAGAAACCAGAGGAGACACAAATCCATACATCCGCTGAAGTGAGCTCTTTCAAGTAATGAACCAACACAAAGAAGCTTTATTGCTAACTTCTTCATAGAAATGTACCTATATCACTGCTTTTTTTTTTCTTTCTTTCTTTTTAAACTATTTTATTTGTATTTTATCAAAGTCCCTCCAGAAGCCTCTCCACTATTCTGAATAGTAAATCTGGCTGCTTGTTTGAAGCTCTTATCTAAATACATGTAAAAAAAAAAAAAAAAAGGTGTAATATCTATTTCAGTGGTGTTTCGGGCATATGAAGTGCATCTATAGGATCACCGGTTAAATTGGATTAAATAACAGCAAAATAAATGAAAACTTTAACATTGTTGCCATCTTTGCCAAAAAATAAGATATAAATAGATTTTACAGTCTAGAAAAATACACAAATATTTACACCAAAAAAAAGGTGAGTGGTAGGTGTTGTATGAACACGAGCAAAAGAAAAGCTCTGGCTCATTCCACCAGAGCACTGAGCAAACATTAAGCTAAGTCATGTTGTAGATAGAGAAAGCTAAAAATAAAATCATACTAGAACTTACCGTCATCTTTTCTGCTACCATCTTATTATTATACTGTAACTGTATTTGCTTGCCACTACACGATTGAATGTGAGTGAATTTAATTGAGTTGAATGCAGTTTTATTTGTACTTGGGGAAGGTGGGAAGGAAATACTCCTTTTTAGACTTCAGTATATAATTGGATCGTTGGAAGCAGGGACAGGACAACCTTTGCTATGCATTTCCTTTTATAATGATTTGTTTCACCTAGCTTGCAAGCTAATGTGAAGTTTGAACCTTTGGCCATCAAGTTTATATGAATTAGCTCAAGTTCGGCTGTGTTCAGGAATATAGGACTTGGTGACACCAGAAATAATAGCAGCAGAATTTCAGGCTGAAGTCCAAGAACTACTTTGGATTTGACACAATCTGTAGATTTACCCACAGAAGTAAAGTAAATCTTGCAATCTTTGCAACTATGGCAATCTTTGACATTACAAATGCTGCTCAGTACTCATGTTAAGAAGGTTAATAATCATGTTTCACAGGATGCATTAATTAAGTGTAGAGAATTGCCAACCGTCATCAGATATCATCAGATTGTAGATTTCCTGCCTGCTGCATTGTCCACAACACCCCATTGTGGCTGGCCACAGGTTGGCATACACTTCCAGGTTTCTTAAACACAACCATTTGCAGCCTTTTTCCAAACACATGCATGAACCAGAAGCTTTCAACTTGGTGAACACTTTTCCTACCTTCAGGCAGCGACTGATTTTCATTCAGTACATTACTTAAATCAATTTGCAGCTGTATGTAATCCATCACAATAAACAGCAAGATCTCTCAAGGACTATTTTTGGATTTGCATTAAGAACAGAAACTCTATATCTCTATAATCACATTTGCAAATGTAAAAACCTGTGGTGCATATTGGAACCTGCTCAGTACTTGGTTAAGTCCCATCCCCGCAGTGATTAGGAACATTTAAATTGTTGTACTGTCGTCCACATCCTCCTCAAACCAGCAGGGACTGTGGTACAAAAAAGAAAAACCTGGCAAGGCTCAAGTCAACATGTGGAGAAACACTGAGGAAATATTCTATCCAGCGCTACTGACCTGCAAGTATTTTCTTTCCCTAAGTTTCATTTAGCTCACTCATAGCTGCAGGAAAAGAAAAATTCTCTCCACATTGCAGAAAATAGTCCCCATGAGAGGCATTAATATTTAACATGCGCTGATTGTTTTATTCTCAGCTCTCTTTTCTCCAACACTCTCAAACCAGAACTGGATTTGCCCTTTTGTGGTGTCAAATGGTCCTTCAGAGGGGTTAAAGAGGTTTTCAATCTTCCTCATGGTTTGGAAATACGGTCAGCGTGAGCCAGCTGACTCAGTAACGAGGTCATGTGGAGAATGGGAATGCTCGCACAAAGTCTAAAGAATGACAGTGTTTTTTTTTCCTCTGTTTTCAGGGCCTGCCGGCTGAAAAAGAAGGCCCAGCACGAAGCCAACAAGATCAAGCTGTGGGGGCTCAATCAGGAATATGGTCAGTACTCAGGAAATCACTGGGTATTCTTTAGCAGGGGGTTTCGGATGCACTTCTGACTGTTCCCTGAACATAAAGTCAAAATAGTCATTAAACTCTATATATGCTCTTCTTATAGATGATTGCATCTAGATTTTTATTTTATGTTTATTTTTATATTTCTCTCTTTTTCAAATGGGTGACCCTTCTTGCTGTGGGTGGCTAACGATAATGATATCTGCTTTTTCTTGTGATACAGTTACCTATACAGCAGCACCAAATATCAGCATTATAGTCTAAACAGTTAGTCAGTTCCCATCAACTTTTTGGCTTCTCCCAGTAGTGACGGTGTTCAAATAAATTAGAGTAAAGTGAAGTTAAATGGAGGAGAGCAAGAAAATGCAAATCAGCTGCTAATTAATTAAACTTCTACATTCATAAAATTGTCTTGCAGTTGACTCTGTTGAGTAACCCAAGCAGAAAAATCTAACCAGTGCTCATTCCTCACAGACTGTCATTGGAAGCTCTACAGCCCACAGTTTATAGCTTACAGTTTATTTTTTGCTAGCACCTTGCTAACAAATCGTGCAAGCATTGGCTAACAATCTAGCAACACCCTCTTGTTCAAATATGGTCACCTCTAGCTCTGAAAAACCAAAACTCTATCCTGGAGGTTTCCACAAAACCAGTGAGTGGTGTCACATGGGTGTGTCCATCTTTTATATACAGTGTGTGGTCCCACACCTAGTCCTAACTGCTTCAACGTGTGTGTTCAGAAATCATCTTCTACTGTTTGAGTTAGTGTTGCTTCCTCATCAGCTTGCACTAGTTCTCTTCCTTAACCT